TAATGGAACTTGAAAATTTTAAACTCGCGAGTTTTCGAATCGAGCTCGACTCAACTCGTTTACAGCCCTGATTATTAGTCAAGTGAAGCCCACTGGAATGGTATATGAAATCACTGAATTTCTAAGCTAAGCAATATTGCTAACTTTTCTTTTCTGATCAGCTTCCTTTATCTATCAGTATGTCTTAATCATATTCTCGTGTGTTGTCTAGTAACATGCACGAACAAAAGAAATCTAATTTTACTCGATTGCCACTGACGTTATATATTGCCCGTGGTGTGGATTTCAACTGTGTGATTAACGAGGATTTCAGAGTAAATTGAACCCATGGATTTTCATTTGGAGCATCGATTATTAATTGATATCTAGCAGAGTGAGACGTTAAATTTTTTAAATAATATTCATGATTTGAATTCTTACATTATAAAAAGATCAAACTGAATTAACTCGTATAATAGACCTATACAGTACACAATTAATTTTTTTACTAAGGGATAGAATTTAAACTTGGACAAAGAGAAGCCGAGATCCTAAGTTTTCTAGGTGGCTTATTCTAGTTCCACTTAAAACCAAGAGCATTTTAGCGATCCGAGTTTTTGAAAATATATTATATTAAGCTAAAAGGTTTTAAGTTTCACTTAAAAAAAATTAATATATTTATGTGTTGCTCAATTTAAACCTTCTAAAATGTTCAACTTGAAAAGCTCGTGAGCAGTTTGAAAATATAATATATTAAATTTTATTTTTTTTAAAATAAATTATTAGCATTTATGTGTTGATTTTTTTAAATGCAGTATAAGGTTTTCATATATTTAAGGTTAAGTTCGAGTTTGAGGCTTTAATCTAGTTAAGTTTAAGATTTTTTTTTATTTTGGAGCTTTTACGAGATTCAGATCATGATTTCAAGTTCGAGTCGAGCTTGAAAATTTTAGACTCACGAGTTTTTGAGTTGAATCGAGCTTCAATTTATAGTTTTCGAGTCGAGTCGAGTCAAGCTCAGCAATACTCGAGCTCGACTCGGCTCGTTTACAGCCCTGGATCCGAGACCTCGTTTTGTCCATCTTCGACCCCCAAGTATTTTATCCATCATAAGTTGAGCACAAGTTTAACTTAGTTTTATCGATCAAGCATTTTTGGACTGTGTTTTATCGATCCAAGCATTTTATTGATCATAAGTTGAACATACTCTTGCCTTCAGCATACTAGTAAATGATATTTATGCTTGAGTTCGAATAACATGCAATTTAACTCTTTAAATTTTCATAGGGAATTTACAAGGGGCTGTTGTATTAAAAATTAACAAGTATATTTGGGAGAGGTTGTACCTTAAGAAACTCTTGGTTGTTCTTTGGCAAGGCTCTTGAAGCACGATCGTTGATCCGAATAAAAACTGGTATCCTAGACTAATTAAGAAAGGCATCCATAAGCCGGAAGTAATTTCCGAAATCGCTGCATAAGTGCAAGATGAGAACCAGTTATCGATCGTTTCGGAGAGTGAATTTATTTCAGCAATTGATGTTCAAGAGTAGCTTACCAGTCTTCTGATGTACGAGTGTTGTCTGGTTTTTAAGGAACTTCATTTGATGTGATCATGTTCAGAACCTCGGACTCATGAGCTACATCAGTCATCCGGTGCTGCAAGTGAAACCACCTTGGTATCTTTAATTCGAGAGCCATTCACAACCAGTCTAGGCAAACCTCTTCCCCCGATTTTTTCTGCAGAACCAATGCCCTGAGCCTTTGAGTAACTTCCTCGGTCGGTTTTTCGGGAGGGTTTATTCTGAAGTTTAAGGGATATGCCATGGCTTAGTTTGGAGTTTCTTGAAGCACTTTGTACCTTTGTTGCAGCAGATGTTGATTGTTGAAGAGTTCTAGGAGGTGCCTTGTTTGAGCCACCTCTTGGATTAGTGCTTTTTGCTCCAGTTTTAGGCATGCTAATAGGTGCTTCTGGCGGGGAAGGTACACTTAGAGTTCGACTGTGTCTAGATTGTACCTGCCTTCATCACAAATTCACATTGGTTATATACTAGACCAGCAAAGCTAGTTAGAGCTAAAAATTTGTTCATTCAGTTGTAGAATAGTATGCTTTTGTTCTGGAAAAATGAAAACAGTTTCAGCCAAAGTCACTTCCCATACAGAACAGATCGATTTCCAGAAATAAGAACTAACCCCATTGGAAAAGGCAAGTTTTGTTGATGGCGGTCGAAGGCCTGAGGATGTTTTCATCGCAGCTGGATGAAGTCTGGTACTTCCATCCGAAACTCTTCTTTTACTTTCATCAAGTGAACCAGTAACCTCAGCACCATTTCCCAATGAGGGCCGGCGTGTTGGATGACTCCGAGAATCTGAAACTTGCTGGGCATCACTATCTGCAACGAGTCCTTTGAGAGAGTCAGAACCAAGGGTATCTTTTTCAAGCTTAGACCTTTTATTAGCAGTAGACGTTGATGACGCAAATGATGACTCCGACGACCATTCACCGTATGAGCTAGCAACAGACATACTGGAATGGAACTTGATAGGAGACTTCAATAAAGTTGAGAGCGCTGAAGGTCCTGCTCGACTTTTACTAGTGGCTGCACTTTTGGATGCATTGGTGGTAGTGTAACCAGAGGAAGACAAGTTAACTAAGCTGGAGTCATTATTTTGTTTAATCATATCCATGGAAGAAATAGAAATCATGGAAGAAGATAGGGAAGAAGATCCAGAAGATAATGTAGTCCTAGGCACAATATTTCTTGAACCATCCAAAGCAGGAGTTTTTGATATTGTGGTCCCTCTACCTACAACATATAGAAAACATGAGCAAGAAAGTCGAGAACCGTCCTAGACCGTCACAACCACATCCTTGCACCAATTATCGTCATCTAAAGAAAGTGTAGTTTGAATTACCTGTCACACTTTTTGCATCCTTTTCTATTTTGATATACTTTGCACCCAAGGAAGCCCCCTTGCCCTGTACCTTTGGTGTCTTATGAAGAGATGAAGTTGATACTGCACTTCTACCAACAGACTATAGGGTCCCAGTTAAAAACAAAATCAGAATTCGCAATGAATATAACTCATGTGGTAAAGCATATTCAACAGTAGCAATAAGTGGATGTTTATAGGCATAATACATGCCTGTGAAATTTGAGGTCGGGCAGGAACCTGCTTCCATGTCTTCCCAGGATCTTTCATAGCTGTGTTCTTCTTAGGAGCAGCTTTCTGCTTCACCTGAAACAACGACATGAAGTCATTGGAGAAACAAAACAAAGGGACTAAGTAATGAACATTTCTTGAATGTACCTTGTCCCGATTAGAATACACTAACTTCGAAGCTGAAAAGAAAAGGAAACGGAACTTTCGGTTTGAGATATTTCTTCAATCATAGCTAACAAACTATCAGGTATCTAAACGTGGTATGGTATAGACCAAAAATAAGAACTGATGTAATATAATTTTATGTTATGCTGACTCTTGTAAATATCAGATACTAGTACATATGCACAGCATTAGTATATTCAATCGTTTCTAGGAGTTATATCCTTGTATCAATGTTCGAAAAAACGAATGGAGCAACATAGATGATGACACATACATTGCCCCATCAGATCATACATCTTCCCATCTAAGAGAGAATTGATATTCTATGGAGTTATATTTTGTGGTATCAGAGTAAACCATTGGGTCAGACAAGACAATGCAGGTTCAAATAAAGAAAAAGAAACTATACTTACATGACACAATCCTTGATTCTTTTGTTTCCAATTCCTTCTTAACCCTAGAACCTGCATTGCCAGGCATTCTTTTAGATTTCTGGATTGAAGCTCTTCTGTCCTCATTGAGATCAGCCTTGAGAACTTCCCGTCTCGAAATTTCACCGACGGACACTGTCGATGAGTCACAAGATCGGTTCACATACTCTCGGCTGGAGAACTTCTCTGACTCGAGAAAATCTATAAAAACAAAATCAAAACAGGAAATTCCAGAGCCATAAAGCGTTAATCTCAAGTGAAAATAGAAATCGAAGAATTAGTACCTGCACTACAAAAGAAAGAGCTATCCCATGTCATACTTTTGTGTAATTTAAGTCTTCCACTTCCTCTTGTCTCGTCTTCCTCTAACTTTCCATCTAACTTTCCATATTCATCAAAACAGCCTAATCAGATTTCTATAAAATACACAATATCCAGTTTATCCAGAAAAACAAAAGAAATGGATTATTGATCAATGTGAAGCTTTATTCGGAAAGTTTGGTACAAAAATTATCCAGAGAAATCTATGAAATGTGAAAAACTGGCATAATATCTATGAATCGGCAGCTAATTTTTGTGATAAACCGATTAATTCCATTACTAAACCGTTAAATCCATTATTAATTACCGAAAAGGCAGCTAATGCTAATTGGAATTTACATTCAGAAAAGGGGGGAATCCTCTACTGATCAATTCGAAGCTTTATTGGAATTTTTTTGTATGAAAAAAAGTTGAGAACCCAATGAAACATGAAAAATCCAAGGACAAATTATGACAATGATGATAAAGGGAAACCTGAGAACTGATCAATGAAAGGCGAATCAATGAGGCAATCGTCTTCAGACGAAACGTCGATGAGGCTCAGTCCTTTGATATTGAAATCGCTTTGTAACTTACGATCACGCATTTTCGGAAACGGAGATTTACAATTAACAGATCGAATCAAAAGAATTTGATAATGCAGATGGAGAATTGGAGGTGTGACGAGAGCTAAGAGAGAAAGGAAAAGAAGGAAGTTAATTTTGTTTAAAAAAAATTCGGGAAAATTAGGCGGTTCAAAATTATACTATTAAAGGATTAAGAAAAATTAATCATAGAGAGTTGAATGTAACTATCAAAATAAGTTGATGAGTTCATACTTTCTTCCTTTGATGTATCACTTATCTTTTGATAGGATTGTACATGTCTTCTTTAATCTCAATCAATATTTCAAATCGATGGTTGATCAATTTAATATTTAAATCAACAAACCAACTACGTAGATAAACAACCATAACGTTATCCATTTGACTCGGCAATCAACCTTACATTGTTCCAAGTCATATAAAACAGAATGTGCATGAGAAGTTTCCTAACCGATGTCGTTACTGGAATATAGTACATGCTCGCCACGAGCTCAATCCTACGATACCCTCTCGACATTTAAACAATTCTTTGAAAAATGAATCTATTCCAAAGAACGTATGATTGGAAAATAATACTACAAAATAATAGCTTACAAGATAAGATGATGCAGACCGTCAGAGATGTCGGTCCTTCACATAAGATGGATTATTTTGAAACTATTTGTTGTGGCGCCGAATTATGACATAGATTGAGGATTTAGATAATGGAACTTGCAGAAGAATGGCGTGATCTCTAATCAGTTCCTTGCATCGGAACCATCATATGGGCCTGTCATAACAAGTGTTGCAGGATATTAGAACCAATGAAACAACCCTTCTTTGGTATAATTCTTCAAGAGTACAAGGCAAAGGACAAATGCAGTGATTGAAGATGATACATCATAGCAACAACAGGCGAAACTAATAGCTCGGGGGGGGGGACCCCAAAAGAAGCTGACACAAACTTAGCCAGAGATGATGAAAGAATTCTAGTAAAGAAACTAGCAGGAGTAAAAAGGTGTAACTAGAAGCAAATGCAAAGGTGCCAAAGCATGCAGAAAAAATATAGAGAAATATGACACGATTCTTTGGTGTATATGCCATGATTTTTTGGTGTAAGGGTATCCAAATCGAGAGCTCCATATGAAGATAGAGAAATATGTAAAAAAATAAAAAGTGTTATGCATTGACGTGTTAGCACAGTAGAGAGAGAGAGAGAGAGAGGTTACTTGAGAATTCCCATAATTAACGCCTTGTGAGAATGAACCTTGATGAACAAGCTGCATAATATTTCAAATTGAAAGATCAGATAACAATATAGCATAGTTTGAGTAGGCATTAAGTTAATCTATCAAATAAAGGTGGAATGCATGACAATCTAAACAATTAATAAAAAAACTATACTCCACCTGGGCATTTGGGCTTGGTTGGACATCTTTCTTTGCAGATGCATCTCCGCCTTTGGCCGAGCCCTTGGCATCACCCTGTCAATTTACAAACAAAGCCATGTAAGAGAGGTATCCTGGAGGAGACAAGTGAGAGATGATAAAATATTTAATAAAGTTGCAAAAAAAATTGTAGAAAGCCTTAACTCACCTCCATCTACAATGTCCCAATTGACCATAAAAAAGACCGGGATGTCAAAAAAAAAAAAGTCAATCAGTTCATTGAAACTAAGCAGCAAAAGCAGAGAATACCAAAGTATTTAGTCCCTTCGTTGCAAAGAAATTGCATGTAAAAGGGGAAAAATGATGTCTCACATATTTTACCATCCATAAGCTAAATTTCTTTACCAATATTTCATATAGATAAACCTTTCGGTTCTTAAACGAAATTCAATGAACAGATGTATTATGTGTAAGATTGTCATACTCAAATGCCCATTTTTCTCTTAGATGAAACTTACAAATAAGGAAATCCAATTAATTACTCAGGTAGCACAATTAATTAAATAGATATATAGGATAATAACCCTTTTTCTCTTAGTTGAAAATTACAAAATTTTAGATCCGAAACTATTATGACTTGTTTTAGTTACAAAAAAATAAGAATGAAGAGCTTGTAGATAATCACCTCTCTATACCGGGAAAGGTAAATCTTAAGCGGATCAATGTAATCTTCAAACCCCAAAGTTGCCATAGCCCAGAGCAGATCATCCCCGTTAACAGTCTTCCTCTTCTCTCTCTGACACTTATCGCTAGCTCTGTACATCAATTCATGACCAAATTCCCGAATTACACAACAAATTTCACATATAGAGCTGATAAATTCAGCTAGAACAGTAAAGTAAAGAATCTTACTCGCTGGTGATGAAGCTGATAAACTCGGAGACGCACTCTTGAACGGTCTCTTTAGCATCTTTAGCGATCTTACCATTAGCAGGAAGAGCCTTCTTCATAATACGGCTGATGTTAGCGATAGGAAGATACCTTTCCTGTTCTCGCACATTGGATTTCGGGCTATGATCGCCGCTCTCATTACTTCCTCCGCCGCCGGGACTCGACTGTGCCTCCGCCATGGAGAAAACCCTAACTCGAACAAGTCAACGACAATCATAATGAAGGGAATTTAGTTCAAAATCCTTCAATCTCTGAACACGAAACCCTATCAATGATTTGAAAAAGAGAGCTAAATGAAACAGGAAAATCTTACCTTAGTAGAAACGAAACGAAACGAAATTAAAATAAAATAAGTAGAAAAAGGGCGGGAGAGAGGGAGATTGGATAAGGGGGGAGAAAGAGAGGGAATCGGACGTTGGAGAGGACAGGAAAGAGGAGACACTCAGATGAGAAAACGAGTTTTATCAACACCGTTCGTTTTGAGTTTCGCTTTTCTCTGTTAATTGGAGTATGTTTTTTTCCGGCTTAATACCAATATAAGTACCCAAACTATACCTAAAATTTAGAATAGGTGTCTAAACTCTAAACTATTTTTTGATTCATACAGGTGTCTAATGTTACAAACGTTATCCATTTAAGCGTCCGGACTGTCAACGGCGTTAATTTCCCCATTAAGTGACATGATTCACAATCTAATGATTTTGAAAGTTGTTTTTTTAAGTATTATATTCATAAAAAACCGTAATTTCTCTTAAATTATAAAAACCCCTAGGATACCTAAGATCCCAAAATCCTATCCTTAACCCCCGCCGCCCCTTTTCGGCCACGACCATCATCGTCTACGATGTCTTTGCCATCCTCTTAGTCACACGTCGTCGTTGTTGCCATCGATTGGCCGTCGCGTGGGATTGTGCTTTCATCCTAGGGTTCGCATGGTATAAAAAATCGATTCGCCGTCGATTGGTCACGATTTTATGGGGGTTTTGGTCGTGGGGGGAGATGAGGTCGGGTGGAGCTTTGCCGATGGCAAAGGGTGATGGTCGACTTCGGTTTAGGGGTTAAAATGGAAGTTTTCAAAGTTTTTAGGGTTATTTCAAAATGTTTATGTTTTTCTTTATATATATATATATAATTTTAATTCCTTCAAAATTTAAATAATTTTTTTAAATCACCATATTGTGACACGTGTCACTTAACAATAAAAATTAACGTCGTTGATAGTCCGAACACTTAAGTGGGTAACGTTTATAACGTTAAACACCGGGATAAGTCAAAAAATAACTTAGGCATCTCTTTGAGATTTTAGGTATAATTTGACCTTATTTTGGTATTAACCCTTGTTTTTGTTAAACAAAGTGATATTTTCCACTATACTACAGTGTAGACTTGGTTAAAATATCATGACAGTATTAACCCTTTAACAAAGTGGTCTTTTTCCACTATACTACAGTGCAAATTTGGTTAAAACATCCTGACAGTCCCTGCATTATAGTTAAATGTTATATTTAACCAATATATTTTGAAATTGAACAAAATTAATTAATGAACATTTTTAACATTTTAGGGGAAGCCAAAGCCCTTCCTGTTCACCTAACTTAGCTCTTGGCCTATTTGAATGATCATAAAACTAAATGGAACATTGAAGAGAATTAAATTAACCTTGAGCAGTGCAAGACAAGCATTTCAATAATATAATGATCTGTCCAATCAGTTCTGTAAAGTATTTCGTTATCTGTTCTCATTTAAAAAGAAATTACTCCGATGAAATAAAAATGTCACCACCAAAACATAACTGATACAAACAATCGTTCTTGCAAAATTTCTAAAGCGGAACACTAAATTTACTGAGACACGCCCAACCACTTGGAGAAGTTGTCGAACTCGGTGTAATCACTGTCAGAGATCATGGTTTGATACCATGCTTTCCCAGCCGACTTGATTGCAGCTGCTTCCTCCTGAAAGGTCCAACAGACTAGGAAAAAGGAAGAATAATAGGGTCAATGAACTAACATGGAAGTCGAGAAAACATAAATCGAATGCCGGGAAAGATAACTGAAGAATGCCATTATAATTCATTTTGAACACTGACAAGAAAAAGAGACCAATAGGTGCTATCATGGCTCATTTCGGACCCAAGGTCATGCTCAACATAAGGTGGAAATATCAATAGCATATGGCTTTAACTAAATGGTTCAAGTCAGATAAACATATATAACAAACCAATAGTCCTCCCACTACCTATCATTCTCTCAACAAATTTGCTTCAATCGATGAAAATGGAGAAAGAGTCTACTCAAGAACATCCATAAGTAGAACAATCATAAAGTTACCATATGAATAGCTTCGAAGCATGATTTTAAACAGTGTTTGTGGCATCAATAGAACGTCATTGTATAGTACAGGAATCTATCAAAGACTTAAGAAGCAAAAATGGGTTCCATTAGTCATATAAATCACAATCAAGACCAGGAAACAAAGCATCCAAAGACAACATATAACTCCACTGGCATATACTATAATGCATCTGGCTAAACCACAGAAAAGTGCAACTATCAAAATTGAGAAAATCACAAACATATCAGAACATAATCTATATTACTTAGAAATAGGCTTCCTCTTCTTATCAAGCTTCTCCTCAGCCAAAAGAGACATCCTTTTAGGTGTCTTCGCTTAAGGGTTCAACTTCAGCATAACATTCAAGTTCTTGAGGGGATTCTTCTTCATAGATGCCCTCTCGACCTCCTTCTTGACGGGCTTAACGACAGACTGGACCTCATCAGAGACATAATGATCCTAACAAGGTTAGCGTTCACCGTCTTAGAGCGAGGTAAAACGTACCCTTTCTTCTTCTCTGAAGGCTTATCAAATGACCCGTAAATTGAGTCCAGCTTCTCGTATGCAGATTTGGTCCAGAAAACGAACTTTCCAAGGTGTCCAGATAACATGTACTGTTTATAGTACTAAACTGTGGTTACAGTGTGTTTGTCTGTATATATGGTTGTGGTATAGCGAATACAATGTTTCGAACTATGCATTATAGTGTGATTTGTTTCTTAAAAATAATTATGTTCTTAAATTGTAGATGTAGTTGTAGTTTTTGGAAACTATTATGATGCATCCCTTATATTATGTTGCGGCTATAATTTGAACAAAAATCCTCTGCCCCTGCCTTATGTGTGCTCTTCCAGTAACTTTTTTATACCTGTCAACTTTACTTTTCCAGCAAAACTAATGTACAAAAAAAATTATATTTTACTTTATCTTCTACCTTCCAACCCATGTTGTAAAATTCAAATTACTAAAAAACACAGAGAAAACAATGCTTCTTCATACAAACATTCATTAGAAGGATTGATGGCCTCCATTTCAGCGTCAGCTGTCTTGTAGTCGGGGCGGATGTATGTGGCTCCCTAGCGGAGCCACTACACACCCATTATTCGAGAAAAATGTTAAATTTAATTTAATTTGTTAATGAAAATAGAAAAAAATTACATACTAAGTTGGATCCCATTTTTTAATTTCTTGATCCGCCACTGCTTGTAGCTCCAAGATAAGCTCTAGCGTGACCTCCATCTCGCCCATCCCTGACATTTCGTTTCCCCTATGGTGGACACAACTTGAAGCGATTATCAAATGCTTGTTCAAACATTCCAGAGCTACCCTTCCCTTGAGATAAGGATCAATGGCATGATAAATGATTCCTTCCCATGGGATGATAAATAGGATGATTTTATATAAGAATTCACGTACTCAAATTGTACATAAAATCATTTCTCTTTCAACAAGCCAGCAATAAGAGAAATGGGTTCGAATCTGTGCTTTACAACAATAACACAGATGTTGGAGGACTAATATGTAAAAGAAATTTTAAAAAACCGTTATATAACTACCTAACAATCATCGCCGATTTTTTCAATGATTAGAGAGAAAAATCGCGTCATAAAATAAATATAAAAACTCTAAATGCTTTCGATGAGATTACGGAGAAGACGACGGTGAACTGCCCGGGCCAACCGTCCTTAAGAACAAATCCGACAAGTAATTCCCGACATCTTCAGGGTAAAATCTGATGAACAGTGTGACGCTCCTTTCATCGCCGATTGTTGATTTATGGCAATTGAAAAATTTCAATAAACGGCGACGAGCTTCCTTCCAATGGATGCTTTGATCTGGTCTCGGAGCTTCGAGTCGGGTATGACGCATGAAATCTGCTTCAAATACGCTGCTTCGAAGCTTATATTGAATTTCCTGAAACACTGTTTGGCTTCCGCCGGTGTCATCGGCGCAGTTGGATTCTTAGGCAAGGATGCGAAGACGTTTCCGAACGCTAACCGCTCGTAGTTATCCACCAACCGATTCACTTTAGCTTCTTGCTTCACGATCCATTCCTCGCCGAGTAAGCAGTGGAGATTGGACTCATGGACTACAGAGATTACATGTTGGATATTGTTGGCTAGAAATAGGTATGAAACGGCGGCGTCTTTGTAACACTTGGCTTTGCTATCGAGTTTGCAGAGTAAGACGAACATTAGCCACGAAATGCGGGCGGAGATTGCAGAAGCCGGAGATGCAACGGGAATCGGACTGTAAAAGTAGGATTCACGTGGAGGTGATTTCGCCGGCGGTGACCAGTCGAAAATGATGTCGGCAAGAATGTTGCTGTACTCAGCGAAGGAAGCGAGGTATTTCATTGAGTAGATGGTCAGAGGATGAAAATCGCCGCCTGGAACCATCGCTTTGGACGAATCTTTTCGGATTGTGGACTCAAAATCAGATAACAACGACCTCACTGACTCACTGAGTCGAGTCAACGATTTGAGAGCTTGTGATCGAACGGCAGAACTCGACTCAAAGGAAAAGATCGTTTCAATCTCTTTCCGGTTGCCTGAAATAGCCGTGTACATAGCGAGGAGACGGAAACTTTTCTCCGGCGGCCATTTTTTCGCCTTGGCGACGAGTTCGGGAAATCCAAACAGAGCGATGGCGCCTTCTTTTGTAATCTCCGAAAAGCAAGATTCTCTAATGGAATCCGACGAGGAAAATACGAAGTCGCAGAGGATTCTTTCTCCAGGGAAAAGCGACCTCATTGAAATCTCTATGGCTTCTAACCAGTCCTTAATTTTCAAATTCAGTACATCCCATTCTATCTTCTTGATCTGAGAAAATCTTAGTTTTTCGATCCCCAGCTTGTAAATACCTTCATCGATAATCGATTTTCTAATAGAATTATAAATTTGGACGCATTCTTTAGCGTAACCACAAGCGATCATGCAATCTGCTATCAGTTTCAGATCGGACATCGCCATGAAAGAAACTTCTTGTACTTCAGAGATGGAATCCCCGGCGGCGCGGATCTCATTGTCCGGTGAAAAGTTGAAATCGTAATCTGAAAAGCTCGATTTCGTGGAGGTTCGTGATGATCGAGATGAAACCGATTCCGGATCCAAATGGGCACGGTTCATCGATAAAA